GGCCGGGCGGCGGGGCCGGAGGAAGACGGTGTAGGCCGCGTACAGGGAGAAGAGGCCGTAAGCGACGATCAGGGCGGAGCACAGCCGCTTGCGAGCGCCCCGCATCCCGCCCGGCGCGGGCGGAGACCCCGGCGGCGGCGGGGCGGGAAGGGCCTCGCTCCGCCCGCGGCCCTGGGCTCCGTCCGGATTTCGGTACGGAGTCCAGGAAACGCCCGCGCTTCGTACGCGGGCGGGCGCCTACAAAGGCCTAGCAAGGACTACTCCTAGTACTCGGTAACAACCCCGGTAGGCTGTAGGCAGACCAAAAGCCCAGTGATGTGTCACAAGAAGGGAGGAGAGATCAGGAGCATCGCTGATGTCTTTGACCTCTGCGCAAACAAGGTAATTACATCTCCTAGAGGAAGCTAAGAAGCAGACGTATCCTGTGGTGTAGAAGAGGGTGAAAAGCCTAACAGCAGCAGCTAATGAGACTTGGAAAAATCCTGAACCCAGATCTGGTAAATCAGGAGGCGTAGATTCTTTCTTAGCTCTGAGGTGGCTTGCTGTACGATCATCTTGTCTCATGGTGTTCCACCTGACTCGTAAAATGGTCATAACGACGCTTCTGAGAGTGTTATGAATCCTGGTTGATATAAAAGAGTTGAAGTTCTCTCTGAATGACAGGTACTCCATAAAGACAGGAAGAGTTGTAGCAAAAAAGGAGAATCTATTTAATAACAAGGATTTTGCGCAGTAAACAATCATTGCAAGTTCTTTAGGTTATAAGGCATCGTAAATGGGGAGATAGTGGGGAAGGATATATCATCAGGCTTAATAACTGTGTTTAGAGGTAGGAAGAAGAACAAAAAAAGAGGACAGAAGTGTCAAGTACATTCAACAAATGCCTATTCTGTTCAAGAGTTCATTACAACAAATGAAAATTAACCTAGAGTTTCAAAACTAAGATTATGAGTGCGGCTGGAAGCCTAAGTCAAAATACATTGTGCTGTACATCAGGTAATTTGAATATGAAGCTATAAAAGTAAGCTCTTTTTTCTCTGTGAAAAGTAATTTTTTCTGTACATATTATGATAAAAACACTTCCTGGTACTTGTTTTTACTACTCATGACTGCCTACAATAAATTATTCTTTGGTTTCCATTACACACTTCCAACAAAACCTGTTGTTAAATTCTGCGGCATTACTTATCTTAGTCTCTGCTTGTTGCAAGTATTTTGATAAAAGAAATTAAAATCTAATTACAAAGGAGTTTGGTTTGATTAAAAAGTAGAAAATTATGAAGCATAGGTATGGGAGTGTTAAGTTTGAAATGTAGCCCTAGGAACTTAGGAACTTAGAAAATGTATAATGTGTAACCATAAGAATTCCAAGTACTGTTTAAAATCATTTAACCACAGAAGCTTTGACAAAGATTGGTAGCCTTGTAGTGTTTGTTTCAGAAACTGAGGAAACCGTTATGGACACCAGTTTGCTGCTTGGAAACACCTGAGAGGTCAAGAAGCGGACGAGTGAGGAAGACTATGAAAGACCACCAGAGGACTCCTGAAGACCACCAGAGACCTTCACTGCGCCTGTGTAAAGGACATTTACATATGCTAATGATTTCCCGGAAATCTAATGAATATGTGTAACCTTTCTTGGAAATCTAATGAATATGTATGAATAAGTTTTAATATAAGGTGTATTGTTTTGGTGTTCAGGTGTGCGTCGTTCGTGAGAGGACTCACCCGCGCACCCAGCCGTCAATAAAGAAGTGTCTGCTTATCTACACTAAATTGGTGTTGATAAGTTCTTTATTCCGAGTTTTTCGGCAACATGCTCATTGACTCTTGGGTTGGAATTGATTGACAGAGGTTGCTGGGAAGTTCTAAAAAACTGTATTGACCAACATGTAACATAGGCAGACCTGAGCAAGGTTTTAGAGCACAGCTAGGTACAAAAGAAAGCATCAGTTAGACATCTAACCAGAACATGGAATGAAGGGAGTTGTTGCCAGAACCCCTGCAGCAAGGTTTTGAGGTATAATTACAGCTCTGTTAGTCCTGTTTTCATTAATTACAAAGTTTGCAGGGTATTCTGCTACCACCAGCAGAACATAGTAGGCAGCTGCTGTTGGAATTTTTTTCTTCCACAAAAGCTTGAGTCTCCTGTTAGACTGCACCATACAAGGCTGAATGAAAGGGAGAAGCCTGCAGGAGGCAATTAAAGATCCAAAGCCAGAGGGTGGCCTCGCTACTGGCCACAGATCACAGTGCCCATTCCTGGGCTTTGGCAGAGGTTCTCCTCTGGACAGGTCTCTTGTGATGAGCGAGGTAACAGCCCCTGGTGCTTGTTACTGCTTGATTAATAGAAATCTGCCAGCTCTGGTTTGTACGAGTATACCCTGACATCATACTTCAGGCAGAATCAGCTCAGGTTAACTTCAGTTTTACCTGAAACTAATTACAGTGGCTGAACTGTCGCCTCCATGGGGTGATTGCCTGAGGCAGAGAGGTGATGGTAAGGAACTGCTGATAGTGGTGAAAAACTAAGGGCAGTGACCTCTGTTTTTTGGTACAATCAATAAGAGGGTGTCCACCTGTGGCCTTCTAGCTTCTTAGTTTAAATGAGAACAGCCTCTTCCTGAGAAACTAATGCACTGCAGGAGCATCCAAATAAAGTGTTTTTTTCAGCCTAATGAAATGACTAACCCAACTGCCTTATTTAGTTCTATGTTTCTCTCAGATACAAGACATAGCTAACTGAAGACATTTTTAGATATCAAAGGGTTCTCCTCCCATGTGGCATGTGTTACATTTAGAGTATCTCCAGGCTGTTGTCTGTATAGACTTCTATTCTGTCAAAGCATAAAGCCATTCAAAACATTGTGGCTCCTCCTGTAACACAAATATTAATATTTTGTACCAGCTGTGGAAACTGGTTTGCTGCTAGGTGACTGTAAAAGTGAGATTTGGTAAATAATTATTAGAAATCTTATACTAACACTATGATTGAAACAATAGACAGAAGTATAGCCAAGCAATTAACTAGTGGAGGTAGTTACTCATAAGTTTTGCAGTTCTTTGCTCTTATGACAAGATGTTCCTGTACGCTAGATGAGAACAATGCTGAAACTGACCACATGTGATTGAAACTGCGTTAAGCTTCAAGATCAAAGAACAAGGACAAGAATAAAGACTTCAAGGACAGCCAGCAAGAACTTCAAATGGGTCGGTGGTCAGAAAAGCAGCCCTTCGACTCAAATGGATCCTTCATTGCGCATGATCGGATGTAGGCAGTACTGAGATAATCAGCTGCAATTATTTTTATGTATATGTATACTAATCTGATTAATATGCAATTAGTTATTCTATATAACCTGTTAGTGCTAAAACTGTGGCATGCACGCTAGGTGGAACTATCCCCCATGCATCCCGTGCTGCAATAAAGAATGCCTGCTTTCTAAAACTCCAAAATGAGTCTTAGAGAGTTTCTTCAACTGGCTTTTCGGTATTAATAGCTGCTCTTTCCAAGTCTGTTTCATGTCTTACACATTTTTTAATATCTTTGTCAGGACTAGGTTAGATCTTTCCAAGAACCCCAATGGGTTTGATGTTACCAATGCTTACCTTCAACTATGTTCCCCCTTGTTCCTATAACTTTCGCATCTCCAGTGTTTTGTTAAGTTGGTATATAATGAAGGCAGGCAGTAAAGTCTGTTCCCTGCTCCTTTAAGATTTCTTTGGATGTTCCCACCCAGATAAAAGCTTTATGGCCCATTTGCTATTGCAGTAGGCTTAATACACCCTCTTGAAAACCATTGTTTTCACAATCTTTTACAATCTTAAGTACAAATCTAAGACAGATGAATGTGTTAAATATATTTATAAACCCAACACCATTGCATTGGCCTTATGCATAAATCTTCAAGGTTTTTCAATAGTATAAATGACTGCTTTGTGGATAGATAGGATTATAATCTCTCCTCCCCACATTCTTGCTTTGAGTAGCATAAAGACACATATTTGTATATCACATTCATCTAACAGATTCCAAGGGAAAGAATTTATTCTTGTGGGAAGAACTGTAGTAGGTTTTATACTAGCAGGAATTTTGGCCATATTTTAAAATAAAACTATATTAGCACATGTCCTGGTTTCAGCTGGGATAGAGTTAATTGTCTTCCTAGTA